ATGATGTCATAAGGGCAGCTATGACTCAGGAACCAGGATGGCTCCCAATCACTGAGCCGCTCCGAGGAAAAGACAAAGGTCTCTCCATTCTTTTCTGCTGGAAGTGGCCACAGCCCAGACACCAGAAGTTCTGGCCCACTGACGTCAAGGTGTGAAAGATGACCCTCCCCAACTGGTAAACTGGGGATTGATCTAACAGTTTACAGTCCATCCACACTCTAGAATACTATGTAGCTGTTAGAAAACAATGAATTTGATCTATTTGTCCTGATGTGGAAGGATATCCAAGATGCATTTTTATAAAACATATATTTTTATTGATTTCACAGAGGAGGGAGAGGGAGAAACATTAATTATGAGAATCATTGATCGGCTGCCTCCTGCACACCCCCTACTGAGGATGTAGCCCACAACTCGGGCATGTGCCCTGACCAGGAATCGAACCGTGACCTCCTGGTTCATAGGTCAATGCTCAAGCATTGAGCCACAGCCGGGCTCAAGATGCATTTCTAAGTGAAAAAAGTTGAAGATCAGTATGACCCCATTTAAGTAAATAAAACCATCAAGATACATAATTACCATGAACCAGGAGGTCACAGTTCAATTCCAGGTCAGGCACATGCCGGGGTTGTGGGCTCGATCCCCAGCAGGGGGGTGTGCAGGAGGCAGCTGATTGATGATTCTCTCTCATCATTGATATTTCTCTCTCTCTCCCCCTCTCTTTTGCTCTCTCTGAAATCAGTAAAAAGTCTTTTTTTTAAGTTGCATTACATTTAGGGGAAGAAAATTAACATGACAGATAAAATAAAAAGCACCCCCAAAATTGAAAGACACAGGGCAATAAACAAAAATCTATTTCTACACATCAACAAACAGTTGGCAAATTCTTGGCATAGAAGTGCAAGGTTAAAGATTCACATCATCTGATTTCAAGACCATGGTTTACTGTCCTGAAAAACTATCAAGTTACAGTAATCAAGACAACGTGGTTTTAGTGTGTAAGGAGAGACAAACAGGTCAATGAAACAATGGAGAAGCCAGAAACAGACTCACTCACATTTACAGCCTATTGATTTTTTTAATGTACCCAGATAATTCCATGCAGAAAGGAAACGCATTTTTCAATGGGGAAAAAAAAAAATGACCCTTATCTAATATCACAGACCAAAAAAAAATTAATTCAAGATCTACCACAGGCCTCAGCAAACACTGAAGCTCAAACTACAAAGCTCACAGAAGAAAAGCCGTGGGAATCCCTTTGTGACCCTGAAGTCAACCAAGACAGGATAGAGCACAAGCTCTAAAATACCGACGGGCTGGCTTTGTCCAGATTAAAGCTGCTCATCAAGCCAAAACCGGTGTGGCTCAGTGAATAGAGCGTCAGCCTTCGGACTGAGGGGTCCCGGGTTCGGTTCCGGTCAAGGGCATGTACCTGGGTTGCAGGCACATCCCCAGTGGGAGATGTGCGGGAGGCAGCTGATCGATGTTTCTCTCTCATCAATGTTTCTAACTCTCTGTCTCTCTCCCTTCCTCTCTGTAAGAAAGATGTATTTTTTTTTTAAAAAAAACTGCTCATCCAGACGGCACTCTTCCAAAGCCACAAGCTTAGGACTTCAGCACACAGATCTGACAAAGGACTCATAACCAGAATACAAGATTTCTACAACACAGTAAAGACACGCAATCCAATAAAAATGGTCAAAAGGCTTAAACCCACACTTCATAAAAGATTTTCAAATGGCCACGAAACACATGAAAAGTTGCTCAACACCCTTACTTATTAGGGAAAGGCAACACTGAGACCACGGCAGGTTAACGCAAGGTACCCAGTAACGATGGCAAAACATAAAGGAAACACATGGGAACCGACTGCTGACAAGAAACCACCAGTCTGGAAGTCAGAGTGGCTGTTTCTGATAACAGGAAGCGCGTACCCTCGCCCACTGAGTGACTCGGCCCCTCACTCCCAGGTACGGTTCACTCGGGAGATTTACTCGGGAGACTGCGCGTGTGTGTTCCAAGGCCTGTACAGGAGCATTAGAACGCCCGTCGCATTATAATCATAAAAGCCAAATACTGGGGACGAGTCGAATGTCTACAGAGTGGGTTTTCAGTATACTCATAAGATGACGTATTAACAATAAAAAGCAAAGAACTAGTTAATGACACCGGCATTGACATGGATACAGCTTTTTTTTTCCAACTCGTTTACATTCAATATTATTTTGTATTAGTTTCAGGTGCGCCCTGGGTGTATCTTACAGTCGTCATGTTGAGCAAAGAAAGCCAAACCAAAACACAAAGCACCGTTTGATGCCATTTATACGAAGTTTTAAAGCATGCAAATCGGATACATAGTGATGGAAACCGAGCAGTGCCGGCCTCTGAGAGCTGAGGTTCATTAGAAAGAGGCACGGAGGAGCTTTCTGGGAGGATGGAAATGTTCTGTATGCTGACGAGGTGGAGATTATGGGATACATCCATTTGCAGAACTCATTTAACTGCCCACTTAAAAAGTTTTCATTCGACTATACATAAATTATACCTTGATTTTTTTTTAGATGAAGTTGAAATAATAACATTAAAAAAATTAAGAACCCAGCCAGTATGGCTCAGTGGTTGAGAGTCAACCCATGAACCAGGAGGTCACATCTATTCCCAGTCAGGGCACATGACGGGGCTGCAGGCTTGATCCCCAGCATTGGGCATGCAGGAGGCCGCCGATCAATGATTCTCTCTCATCACTGATGTTTCTTTCTCTCCCTTCTCTGAAATCAATAAAAATATATTTAAAGAAAAAAGAAAAGTATGAGCCCAACTCCAGCAAGGCAGCCTCAGCTGACCACAGCGGAGGATGGAGGCCGCAGGAGAAATGATACCATTTCAACGCCAAGGGCACGCACTTCCCAGCTTTCATCACTCCCTGGGGGTGTGCCAATGGGAAATGCTTCACATGTTAGGGGCATCTCAGTGTTGCCGGCATCACTCAGGAGGTACGTTTGTCATCAGTGAGCTCATTCTGAGGCAGGACATGGGGAGTGAATCCCATCAGCATCCCCTAAACCCCACCCCACCCTGGGTTAAGGGATTCCTAACACTCCTTCTCGTCCCCCCCAAAGGGAGGAGGGGACATCAGTGCTCCTCCAGCTGCCTGCCCACCCCACCCCACGCAGGAGCGCATCATCCAGCGGGTGCAATCAGGGGCCTGCGCCAACATTCCTGACACACCCACCGCAGGGTCACGGCCGGCCGGCTCCTGGAGGGGAGGGCACCCAGCCTCACTGCCCCGTCCCAGGCAGCACATGCAGTCGCCCTCCCCAGGGCGGTCTGGCCTGAGGGGCAGGTCAGCCTGACTTCACTTCACTCAGACCCCCGCCTGCCCCTGAGGTCACTGAGGGTGCCGGGTCCGGGACCAGGAGCGCGGAGGGCTCCGTCCACAAGTTCCTGGCGGAGGGCAGGCAGCCCCCCAGCCGGCAGAGCAGACAGACTGCGGAGCGTGGCCCTCCCCAGGCCCTGCCACTCCTGCCCCCCAGGCAAGAGGCACAGGAGACAAGGCCCAAAAGAGATGACTTTTAATACAAGAGGGCAGGGCGGGCGGGAAGGACTTAAATAGGGGACGGGCGTCAGGAGCCTGCGGCCGTGGGCCTGGGGGCCCTCCGCAAGGGGATGATGCACACGGAGTTCCGAGCCTCTTTGATCCGCCACCATCGGCCCAGCCTGCGGGGTGAGGGAGAAGCTGAGGCCAGTGCAGCCCCCAGTCCCACCCCAGGTCCCACCCAGCCACCAGCCAGTGCTTTCCCCACCACCCCTTCCAGGGCGCCTCCTACCTGTGCTCCTGCCCCACCCCGGCCACCAGGAAGTCCCCGGCACTGGAGAACTTGAGGCTATTGATGAAGCCCACCTGGGAAAGGGGGTGATGGCAGAGGGATGAGTGCACCCCCACCGCCGCGGCCCGCACATCAGGGTCCAGGCTTGGCCTTAGCTGACCTGCCTTCCACCCCTGCTCCGCCTCCTCCCGTCTCCTCCCGCCCCCCGAACCAGCCGGTCACCCCTGGCCCGGGGCCTCAGCCTCCACACGAGCTTTGTGAGGACTAAGGAGACAGTGTATGCCAAGCACGTCAGTGTCCCCCAGGGCCAGGCCCCTGGCTGTGGGGCCTGGAGACCCCCATCGCCATCACCCTTGACCCAAGCTCTGCACTTCACCAGATGTCACTGACAGACCTGCCACTCTTCCCGCGGTCACCCAAGTGAGCGCCCCAGCTCAGCATCAACCTGGCACTGCCACACAGAGCCCATCACAGGGAGCCCATCACACCTGTGCCCGTGGGCTCCCTGCCTCGTACCCAGCACCCAGGGGGGAGGGAGAGGAAGGAGCAGGGAGGGTTCTGCCGGGCCCCGGACTAGGAGAGGAGGCTCCCTCCTGCTAGAAAGACAGTCCAGGGACCTTGGGGTGCGGCCAAGATGGCCGGGCACTCAGGCCCACTCACCAGGGGGATGTCGCAGAGAGGGTCGAGCTGCCGGAAGCCCTCCCCGCACCGCCAGAGCCGCACGCAGGCGCTGTGGGAGCCTGGGGGGAGGGCGACAGTGAGCACCGCACCAGCCGGGGCCCCCTCTGCCACAGAACACTCACCACCCAGGATGCTCACCGGTGGCCACGAGGTCTGTGTTGAGCAGGGCAGCCACTGACGACACCCAGAAGGGCTGCTCCAGGCCTGGCTCGCCCCGCAGCCCGTGGGCCTCTCGCTGCAGGGCAAGCGGCCGTTTCTTGGAGAGGCC